ATAGGTATTAATAAAAATGTATCAGTGACTGTGAGTTTTGCAATACCTGTCATAAGAATATTTTATTAGTGTTAATGTTAACCCCACCAAGAATATTTAATTACACTGAACCATGTGTTCAGCTTTAATGGCTGTACGTCTAAGATTTACAGAGGAAAAAATTGAGAGAATGAGTTTAGTATTTAGCTATGACTGATTAAACGCACAGATACTTCACTGCTCCTGTCAAACAGGTTACACTGAGTGGAGCGGTCGACCGTTCCAAGATGGTAAATGGTAAATGGACTGTACTTATATAGCACCTTTCTATCTTATTTCACGATACTCAAAGCGCTTTATTTATTTAAGATGGCGGCCCTACAGCTCGTCAGCGCCAATAGGCGATAGCGGTCAATGCTGTATCTAGTGTTTATATCTATGGGACCAGTCCAAAAATATCTCAACACAATCTATTGTAAAGATTAAGTTGAGAGACCAGAACAACAATGCAGATGACCTGATGATCCCTATCAAAGCAACCTGGACTTCTATTCATTCAACCTTTATTTATACAGGTTAGTCCCATTGAGCCTCGGGGACTCATTTACAAGAGAGACCTATTACAGCCCAGCAGTGCCACGGGCTATCATCTCTGTACAACACCACATCGATGCAGTCATTTTTGCATAAAGAGGCCCAACCAAGTATTGAGTGCATATAAATTACCTAACATACTTTTCAGAAGCCTGATGTTTGTGTTTAAAGTATCCCCTTTTAATTGAAATTATGTAAAATATACTCACTTTTGTGAGACAGAGTTTCATTTTTCTCTGTAAGCCGTATCATGAAGATTACAAGAAATAAAGGTTTGGATTACATCACTTTATGACACTCTAGTGAATCATGTATGAGTTTCACTTTCACTTGCCATGACTGACAAAATAAAAGTTTCCTAGTTCATCGTAGAACTAATGTAAATATTCTAGTTTTGACTTGGAGGCATGGTGGCACAGCTGGTAGACTGTTGCCTCTCCACAGGAAGATTGTCAGATCAAATTGGGCTTGTGGAGTTTGCATGTTCTCTCCGTGCATGCGTGGGTTTTCTCCGTGCACTCTGGTTTCCTCCCACAGACCAAAAACATGCATGTTAGTCTGATTGGTAACTAAACTGTCTCTAGGTGAGAGTGAGAAAGTGAATGGTTGTTTGTCTCATTTGTCTCTATGTGGCCCTGTGATGGACTGGAGACCTGTTCAGGGTGTCCCCACCTCTCACAGAGTGACTGCTGGATGGGCACCAGTGACCCCATGACCTGAAAAAGAAGAAGCGGGTAAAGATGATTGATGGATGGATAGTTTTAACTTTTAGAGCTTTGCATGAACAAGCTCCTTCTTACAACTCTGACGGTTCAACTCCACACAACATCTCACAGGTGAAGGTCATCAGGCCAGATGTTACTGGTGGTACCCTGCACCCTTTTTAAATCTCATAACATTGTTTCAAGCAGTTAACTTTAGAATGCAATGCCCCTATTTTACACAGCCTAGATTCAATAGATGCATTTAAAAAACATCTAAAGACATTTTTTTGTAAAAAGGTTAATAGATACATGTAGGGTTTTTCGATGTGTTCAGGGTATACCTGTTTTATGTGTATTTTTCAATACTTTTAACTCTATGGTTGTTTATACATTTTCTGGTGTATAATTTGTCTTGCTTTTATTGTGAAGTACTTTTATGATATATGCACTCTTCTTTAGGGGCTGCCACAGCAAACTTCCATGAAGATTTGCCTTTTGTTTTATGCCGCATGCCCCGATGCAACCCCAGACCACCGAGCTACCGCAGCCCCCACGTGTGGAGCATAGGGCTGTCATCTAGGGTGCCTGGGGGAGAAGACGAGGGGGGTTAAGGGCCTTGCTCAAGGGGCAAGGGTGGAGAAAATAAGGATGAGGCAGTGAATGTATGCTTTTGTTCATATTGTCTTTTATCAAATGAAATTTGATCCCAGAACTTTATAACAGATATGTTGTTCAAGAGTGTTATTTTAATAAAAATAACATATGTAATTTGTAATAGTGATTTTAATTTTATTTGTTTTTGAGAGTCATTAATTACTAATTTAGTGCATGTAAGGACCAGTTTCTTTTCAGCTGGGACAGGTTTTTTTTATGAAAGTGTGTAAACAAGATGTTATCTTCTTGACAGGAACAACTTTTTGCATTTTCATACTAAATACTTTCTAAATGAAGTCATTTCCTTCTTTCCAGTTAAGACAAGTCCAAATTTGAAAGATGATCATCAGAACAGAAGACTATGACTTGTTTGACATTAAAAATAATTGTAATAAGCAAAGTGTTGCTTTTTCCAGTCAAGGTGCCAAATATAAA